ATGGTTTTTCCCCCTTTTTACAGGGTTTTCCACGTCAAAAAATCTTGGTGTCTCATAAATGCTAGACCCCTCTCCTTATCTGCTGCGTGCCAGATCTTTGTACCAGCTAAGACCTAAAATAATATTTCTCTCACCGCCGCGAATATCCTGGACGCAAACAAATGTAATGATAATACTTCATATAACTAAACTAAATCAGGATATCTTATCCAAAGTTCTACATTTTTCTTGCCATTCAGATAATTCATTGGTATTTCAAGAGTGCATGTTCATATATAGTTGATCATATATTATTAATTTTTTATGAGGCGTATAAATAGGGGTGTCAATTTCGGGTCACGAGGTCGGTTCGAGGTGCGGAAAACCCGGAACTGACCCGGGTTCAACGGGTCGACCCTAAAACCGACCCGTTATGCAAACGGCGAAAATCACGAACTCGAACCCGACCCGGCGGTGTCGTCGACCCGACCGGAACCGTGACCCGAAGTGACCGCACCGCGGAGCAATCGGCACAGCGCATTCGCGCGAGCGCGGGCGGATGCTGCGGCCACACAAGCGGCCGGCAGCGCAGGCAGCGCCAGGCAGGCGCCGGGCGGCAGCCGGGCAGCAGCGCGCGACGCCGGGCGGGCAAGCAACGCGCCCGAGCGTGAAGCGCGTGACGCGGTACACACATACGGGCGTGAGGGCTGGACGCGGACGCCGCGTCGGGCTGGTCGGACTCGGACTGCGTGTTTTCGGGTCAAACGGGTGACGCGACAACCGTCGGGTCACCCGAACCCCAGAACCCGTTTTTCAACAACGGTCGATTTATGGAACCCGACACCCGACCCGTTAATGAAATCGAAGGTCGGAGTCCAACCCGACCTTTTCGGGTCAAGAGGTCCGGGACGGCGCGTTTTTCGTGTCGTGTCAAACTATTGACACCCCTACGTATAATACATGTTAGCGTCCAGGAATATTCGCGATGATAGAGAAAAATGAAGTTTAGCGTCTTAGCCATCTATACGAAGATCACCAGCACGCAAAGAAAGAAAGAGGAGAGACTCTAGACACCATATCTTTTTACGAATGGCAAACTCGAAGACAGGGAAAAACCACGACGGCCAATACGCACCAGGGTGAATGAATTCCACTAAACTTTGGAGTGAGAATTACAAGGTTGAACCCATCCGTCGATAAAGAAGGTGGTCAGTTACAATATTTAAAAAGATAGATCAAAGGAGCGATGACAGTCGGACGAAATCTGACGGGCCTTTGATACACGAAGTTTGAGAACTGACAATGAACGATCCGAAACGAAAGGTTTGGCGGTGAACACGCCCAGGCGGTGGTCGGCGAGTGGCCGACTGAAGTTCCCAACGGCAGTCGGCGGCGGGACGGTCGAGTTCGGCGATGGTCGAACGATCGGGCGATGGCGTCCGACGGACAGGTCGGGCAGCAGTCTGACGACACGGGCGGCGATCCCGACGATGGTCAGCTGCCAGGCGGTGGTCCATACGAAATTCCGGCCAGCGGGCGGTGGTCCGACGAAGGTCGGGCTGAAGTCGGCGGCGGAGCTGCTGCCCAGACAAATGTCCGGCGGCAGGCGGCGACCGCGCTGGTGGTCCGGCAGCAGACGACGGGACCAGGCGGTTTAGTCCGAATGAAAGGTCGGGCTGAAGTCCGGCGGCCGGGCAAAGATCCGGGCAAGCGGCGGCGGCGATGTCCGCGGCAGGCGCGGTGACCGGGCGGGTGGTCCGACAAAGGTCAGGCTAAAGTCCGGCGGCGGGCGGAGGCCGGGCGGTGCTCCGCGGAACGGCGGCGGCCGGGTAGTGGTGCTAGAGCTCTGAAGCTTCAATGCTCTCTCACAATCTCAGCCAAAGGTCCCCCTCATGTGAGAGTGGTAGGGGTGTCAATTATTGGAGCAATTATTAGTTCCTTTCAACTGGATGTAGAGGAAGGTTACGTTTAGGCAAAAATAGGTCAAAAAGTGCAAATACCGAAGTTTTCTTGAAAAACTCGGTATTTTTTTTCAAAAAACTCGGTATTTGCACTTTTTTAGACAAAACCGAACCTTCCTCTTAGGTCCTTGCACCGGACCAAATTAAAAAACTAAACGACACCCCGAAAACCCCGACTCGAACCCGACAACCGAAAATGCCAAAAACCGGCGTCGAGGTTTGGGTTCCAGAAAATCTGACCCCGTTTGAAAACGGGTCGGGTTCGGCGGTTGACCCGACGGGTTGCCGGGTCAACCCGTTTGACCCGAAACGTGCAGTTCGAGCCAGCCCGAGGTCTCGGCCAGCCCGCGCTCCCCCGCGATGCCGGTGATCCGCGCTCGGCGGTCGCCCTGCCACTGCCGGCGCTCAACGCCCGCGCATGCCGCGGTCGCGACAGTCTGCCCCGGCGTCTACCCCGCGCTCGCGCGCGTGTTCGCCCCGCGCAGGCTGCTGCGCTCGCGCGGTCGCCCCGCGCTAATCGCAATTCATTACCTGTGTTCGGGTCCAATCCGACAACCCGCCGGCGGTCGGTTTTCGGAGTTCGATTTTCGACCCGTTTGCCTAACCGGGTCGGGTTAGAGTCAACCCGTTTGAACCCGGGTCAGTTCCGGGTCCGACCCGAACCCGACCCGTGACTCGAAATTGACACCCCTAGAGAGTGGGGGTCTATTTATAGATTTTCATGAGTGGCACACCCCGTAAATCTAGAGAAGATCCGGAACAGGTTCAGAGTGCTCCTTCGGATGGCTCGTATTGATTTCCCGATCGTAGAGAGTTTTTCAACTGTTTAAGTTCCTTAACAGTGTCAGAATTCAGAGATCTTGGGCTTGTTGGATTCGTCTCGCAGAGAAGCTCGATTTGACTATAAGCATGCCATATTTGGATATCATTTCATTATCTAAATAATGCTTTAACCCTTCCAAATGTGGTCTGGGCCCCCGATTCAGACCCATTTGGGCTTGGGTTGGACCAATTTTGGTGCTATTTGGTTCGTCCCTTTGAGATGTTCAATTTGATTATAAGTTTGCTGAAATTGGAATCTAGATGATCCCAAATTTGATTTTGAAAATTTCCAATTTGAATATGCCTCGAGATTCGTACTCAATCAAGGCAATTTTTGATGACGTGTCAATACAAAAATGATTTTTTAAATGGACACATTATTTTAGGGACTACCAAAATTATTTTAGTGAAGGAAATCAATGAAACATTCAGAAATCTCTTCAATAAGGATCAAAGTTGCATTGTACAACCCATTAGTTTATTTGAGCTGCATGTTATTGATGGCGATCTTAATGAAGATATTGATTTATGAGAGAGAACATCTATATATAGAAAGTTTGATGTCGTTGATCTCCTTATAAATATGTATCAGTTATAATTTGGGCTTGAGTTGTCAATTATTATAGATAATGTTTAAAATATTATACATAATAAGCATAGTTAGCAACAAACATTAACTAATATATTCAAATAGAAAAGAATGCACCTGAGAGATTTCATATATATGAAATAAAGAGAGTTATCATGTTATCCCAACGGTGAATCCTAAAAGTCATTGTCCAAAGAAAATAAAAAGGCATTTAAAAGGGGAGTAATATGCTCCAATAGAGGTGTCAAAATGAGCTTTCGGGTAGGGTTCGGGTTAAACCTGAAAATAAACCTTCATTATTTGAATCGACCCTGATACGTCATGCAAAAATTATATTGATCGGGCACGAATCTCGAGGCAAAATTCAAGTTGGAAACTTCAAAAATTAACTTCGAGAGCATATAAACTCCGATTTCAACAAACTGAGCGTCTTGGAAATACGAACCCAATGACACCAAATTCAACTCAATCCGAGCCCAAATGGGTCCGAATCAAGGACCCGAAGTGCTATTGGAAAGTTCGTACCACAATTTGAGTTACCAAACGGTCTCCGATTTTAACAAGCTTATAGTCGAATAGAACAGCTCGACGAGACGAATCCAACGAGCCCAAGATCGCCAAATTCCGACATCATTAAGACCTTCAAATGTCTGGCGAACGGTCCAAGATCAAGAGATTCAATATCAACCGTCCATTCGACCACTCCCTATTTGCCCCTGATCTTACACCTATTTCAAGCTATGCCACTCCAGAAAATATATAAATAGACTCCTCATTTCCCATGAGAGGGGACCCAAGTAAGAAAGAGAAGAGAGGAAGGAGGAGAATCAGCTCCTCCTCGACCACCGCCGGAGTTCTTTCCGCCGCCTGAATACGCTGGAATTCTACCAGATATTCGGGAGACGCCGGAATTCTGCATAACTTTGTAACTGACTTTCAATTCAGAAGAAGCTCTTTGTAATATGATCATCCTAACTTGTGGGACGAATCAGCCTCTGTACTTCAAACAAATATTAGTGGAATTACTTCAACTGGGCGTGACCCCGTGGTTTTTTTCCCTCTTTCGGGTTTTCCACGTAAAAATTATGATGTTCTTTTATCTTTTGCTTGTGTGTGCTGTATATTCGTACAACGCTCGGATGTAAAATTACAAACTCTACCGCCACATATATTCTAGCCCGCAACAGACCCGATTTTGAAATTGGTCAAAAATTAAAACCCAGATCTGACCCGCTCCAAACTCGAGTCGACCCTACTCGACCCAACATGCTAACCCGGGCACATAGCAGGTGAGCGAGAACGTACTGTGGGGCCTGGGGTCCAGCGCGGCTTGTGGGTGCGCGAGGTTGAGCATGCGGGAGGTAGTGCACAAGTGCAGGACGCAGGGTCGAGCAAGGACGAGGCAAGCTGCAGGTGCGGGAGTGATGCAGTGCGAGCGGAATGCGAGTCAACTTAGGGTTTTGAGAATGTGTCAGTAATTTGAAGCAAGACCTAGCCTATTTGCCAAATGGGCTGACCCAAATTCAATTTTTTTCGGAATGAGTCTCAAATTTCTGATTGGGTTAAATATTGACACCTCTATACTTCAACGTAGGTATAACTTAAAAGATAAATGCGCTGTCTGCACAACACTACACACTCCATTGGTATATTGGACAAATGTAAGCATACTCCACTTCGAGCTGCGCAAAACGTCTAATTTATCCGCGTGACTTGAATGAGAGTAAACAAGGCAAAAGGTTGGAGAGCAGGGCAATCGATTTCCTGAGACAAATGGAGGAAAACCAGCTGGATTTCGTACTTGTTCCCCTTGGCCTATTTGTCCTCGCCCTCTACCACTCGTGGCTTCTCTTCTCTGTCCTCAGGCGGCCAAATACCACTGTCATTGGCCTCAATGCCCTTGCCCGCCGTCGATGGGTCCAAGCAATGATGGCTGTCAGAATCCCACTTCTACTTTGTCTTCTTCCTACCTTTTTCTGTCTTCTAAGCTTTTTCTTGTTCTGCATCTTGCAAAATTTTTTAGCTTTGAATTCATTTTTGTTGCTGCTTGATGGCTTTTACAGATCTGGAAGTGAGGTTGCTAAATCTTAACACCCCTTGTGATTCCAAAATATTTCTCTTGATTGCTAGCGAAGGGAAGGAAAATGGGGGTAACTTGAGGAGGTTATTTTTTCTTTTATTCTGATCTAGGGTTACTGGCTAAAACTCTTTCATCCTTCTTCAATATGTTTAAATTTCGTGCTTACTTTGTCTGTTTGATGCATGTTTAAATAAACCTCAGTAATCACCCCACAATTCTTTCTTTTACGTTACCTTCAAAGAAGCAAATGTTGTGTCTCTTCTTTTCAAGAGATATTGATCAGGTTTTACTGATGTGAAGTAAAGTTTTGTCTGATCTTCGCTGTATCCTATGTTCTCTGTTCACAATGATATAAACTTTTCTTTTTCATCAACTACGAAAAGCCAAACAAAGAATTTTTTCCCCCAGTCAGATAATTGAGCGAAAACAATTTGAACTCGATTCCTTCAACATTTTTATTCCAACTCTTTCAATTCCTTCAAACCAAATAGAGCCTTAGGATTCGGGATTATAGATTTTAGTTTCAACAAATTTTGAGAGCTTCGGTGTTGCCATTCTTTGGAACATTTTATTAAATGGAAGATGTATTTATGCTGATCAAAGTATTAATGAACACGAAGGACTTTGTGAGTTATTTCTAATCTTAAACTTAATAACTATGAAGTCATTGCTGTTTCTTAATCTTGCGAATCATCTTTTATACATTTTGGTAGGTATCTATGGAGGATGTCTGACCTTACTAGCAGATCTGCCGAGAGCACAAAGGCACCTGTGAACAAAAATGGAGAGTATAGATAACGAAGAGTAGATGTGGGCTAGAGGTTTCAAAAAAAAAATGAAAATTCCCTACTAATCCAAGAAATCTCTTTTGATAGTATTTTTTCTCGTCTTGAATAGTGCTCATTGCTTACCACTCGTGGCTTCTCTTCTCTGTCATCAGGCGGCCAAATACCACTGTCATTGGCCTCAATGTCCTTGCCCGCCGGCGATGGGTCCAAGCAAATATCTCTTGAAAAGAAGAGACACAACATGCATCAAACAGACATGTAAGCACGAAATTTAAACATATTGAAGAAGGGGTGATTACTGAGGTTTATTTAAACATGCATCAAACAGACAAAGTAAGCACGAAAAGAAGAGACACAACATGCATCAAACAGCAATGTTGTGTCTCTTCTTTTCAAGAGATATTGATCAGGTTTTACTAATGTGAAGTAAAGTTTTGTCTGATCTTAGCTGTATCCTATGTTCTCTGTTCACAATGATATAAACTTTACTTTTTCATCAACTACGAAAAGCCAAACAAAGAATTTTTTCCCCCAGTCAGATAATTGAGCGAAAACAATTTGAACTCGATTCCTTCAACATTTTTATTCCAACTCTTTCAATTCCTTCAAACCAAATAGAGCCTTAGGATTCGGGATTATAGATTTTAGTTTCAACAAATTTTGAGAGCTTCGGTGTTGCCATTCTTTGGAACATTTTATTAAATGGAAGATGTATTTATGCTGATCAAAGTATTAATGAACACGAAGGACTTTGTGAGATATTTCTAATCTTAAACTTAATAACTATGAAGTCATTGCTGTTTCTTAATCTTGCGAATCATCTTTTATACATTTTGGTAGGTATCTATGGAGGATGTCTGACCTTACTAGCAGATCTGCCGAGAGCACAAAGGCACCTGTGAACAAAAATGGAGAGTATAGATAACGAAGAGTAGATGTGGGCTAGAGGTTTCAAAAAAAAAAATGAAAATTCCCTACTAATCCAAGAAATCTCTTTAGATAGTATTTTTTCTCGTCTTGAATAGTGCTAATTGCTTCTATTTATAAGATTTAGGGAGCTATAGAAAGAGCTACATGAAGAATGATAAAAATGAATACAATGCTACTGACATTTGTCACCTTTTGATTGGTGGGAGAGTTGGGCTGGGAGACTCGTCTCTAACGAACATAGTAATGCCGAGTATTATAGAGTGAGAATTGCGATGTGTTGTGAGCTAACGATGGATTTGATCTGGGCGAGATACTGTTGCATGGTGAGATCCTTCAGTTGGATGTGGTACAGTTCATTTTTGAGATGGATTACGCAAGAGTGGCTAGCGGGTTGGAGTCGGCGTTCAAGAACGGTCTACGCCTCATGGGTTGTGGTAGAAGAGATGATATACGGTAGGATAGATCGGGATATCATGGAGAACAAGGAGAAGAGGAGATTGTTGTCGACGATCTGCCAGTGGGTGTAAGCAGAGGAGACTGTGTCGGCTAAAGGGGCGGTGTCTCCGGTTAAGTGGCCGGCGTAGCCATTGGCGGTGAACTGTTGAAGGATTTGCATACACCAGATGGCATAATTGTCGGACGTGAGAGGGTAAGGGATGAGGTTCTTGACATTGGAGACTAAGAATTTGAGGGGTGCAGGTATTGAAAAATGGTGGAGGAGGGATCGGAAGGTGGAGGAGGAGGGATCGGAGGGTGGAGGAGGAGGGAGGAAGGGAGTTGATAGATTCTTGATCTCTCATGATGGCTCCTGATACCATGAAAGAGGTTCTATCAAGAACCGGGCGGAGAGCAGAGAGGCGAAATAGAGAAATGAAAAAAAGTAGAAACTATTATTATTATATTAACACGGTACTGGATAGACATATATAAGCAAATACAATGATGTAAGAGTAAATATAAGAGACATAAGGGTTAGTGGCTAACATATCTATTATAAGGTTTCAGAATTTGCTATTTTTACAAGTTGTACAGATCTTCATGAACTTTACAAAGATAGATAAACTCAAAGATCAACTTGCTAACTTTTTTCGAAAAATCTAGCACATCTTCTGCAAATGCAATAACTAGTAAATTAAGATGGAATGAGTTGAATTCTAGCAGTGTGAGCTTTTTCCTTATGATCAGGATAACTAATGATAGCTAGTAAGATTGAAAATTAGAATATGATAAAAATTAGCTTATTGCAATCTTGATTTATGTAATTAAAGAAATAGATTAATAAATTTGATGAATAGTTGTCTCCGGAGTAGTTGTTGGCTCTAAACAATTTGATGATTTGAGATTTCCACGATGGATAGTTGTCGCCGGATAGTTTGATGGAGACAATGTTCTTGATATTTGAAATCAAGAATTTCAGGGAAAGGGAATTATAGGGCTCTCCATGACATCTTCGCCTATGTGAGAGGAAGGAGATGATTCCATTGGCTGGATCTGGCTGTGAGCAGAGAATCTCTGATACCATGTAAGACTAAAGAAGCCCGAGCTCCAAGAACTGTAACTGAGACATGAAAGTAGGAAGAAGTCACAAAACATGAATTTCTTCATTACAGTATATGTCTATCTGAATAAAATGTTGCAATAACTTTATATAGAGCTATGTGGTTTATGTGTTGTACAGGTGTCAGTTTGCTATTGGTTGTATCTGTTATGGTGTGCATATGTGCAGGTTTTGTCTTAGAGTAGGATTCTGCTTTTAGCTAGCAATATAAATACTGCAAGTCAGAAGAAAGAGATTACGTGGATGCCTTGTACTAATCTTTTTTATCTAGTCTTCAGTTGTATTTGTTGAAAAGAGAGATTATTAAGGCTTCATTTGGGACGGCTTTCTTATTGCTTCTTAAAGCTATTAATTTTTGTACTATAAAATTGTTTTAAGAAGCAGTTAGAAAATAGTTTCAAATGAAGCCTAAGTATTGTAGAAGTACTTTTGGCTGCTTGTTATAACGTTTCATCATGTTTTTGGCTCTGATGCTTCAGATTATGTAGAAGGCCAGACGAATCTGTTTGAGAAAATGTTCTCATTATCATTATTTTCATCAGGATTCCTTGAAAAATGGTGTGCTTGCAGTGCAAACCGTGCGAAACAACATAATGGCATCTACTGTGTTAGCGACGACTGCAATCTCTCTTGCCTCCCTTATCAGCGTCTTTGTGAGCGCCACCGCAAAATCCTCAGCCTCTTCTGCATTGGTGTATGGAAACCAAACTTCTCTGGCTTCTTCGGTGAAACTCTTTGCCATATCCCTCTGTTTCATCCTTGCTTTTCTTTGCCACATACAAGCAATCAGATACTATGCACACGTAAGTTTTCTGGTAACAACCCCACCTGCAGTTATTAATAGCACTGGAGACTTAGTTTCAATAAAGTATGTTGCTAGGAGTTTGAACAGGGGGAGCTTTTTCTGGTCCCTTGGCCTTAGAGCTTTTTATGTGTCTTTCACTCTCTTTCTGTGGATTTTTGGACCGTTACCTATGTTTCTCTCCTGTATTGTTTTGTGTTCTTTGTTGTATTTTTTGGATACAACAACTGAGCACACAAGAGACCTTCATAAATCTTTTTGGCCCATGGAAAAGGAAGAGGGTGAAGGTAGTGTCTGAGGATTTGATTTGTATGACAAATAGTTAAATGTTATTATTTAAATATGCATAGTAAATTAGGCATGGATTTTATTTGTTATATATATTATTGTTTATTTAAATATGCATAATAATCATCATTTTTGCTATTTTTTGAAGGTTGTATGGTACATTTTAATAATTTAGCATATTAAATTTACTATGCATATTTTAATTGAGTACATTTTAAGTTGGAAGAAACTTGTAAATAAGCAATATCTGTAGTCACACCATCTCAACATATGCTATAACTTAAATTAAGCTATATTTAACACAATATTGGAGCAATTCGATACTTTAGCTTCATTTGAGATGCCTTTCTTACTGCTTCTTAAAGCAACTTTTTAGTACAATAATTTTAATTTTTGTATTAAAAAGTTGCTTTAAGAAACAGTAATAAAGCTGTCCCAAATGAAACCTAAATAATATAAGCAATTAATTTTCAATCAACTAAATTTTATACATGGGTAAATATAGCACATGCAAGTGTTCTTACATAATAGTGTTAAATAATTATGTCATTATCAAGGTACACAAAAATGTCACACAAAGTAAAAAACTCATCATTGTCATTACCATCAACAACAACATCATCATCAACATTGTCCTGAGTATCACCCAAAACAACTTGTTATTGCAATTCTTTCTACATGGTCGCACGGTCTCGTCGACGTCCTACCACGTAATCGTCAACCCTTGGTATTGGCTCCCTTTAGATCTTTGAAGTCTTGCGTACTAGTTCTACCCTTGAAAACCAACTTGTTATTGCATTTCTTTCGACATGGTCGCACGATCTCGTCGACCTTCCACAACTCTTGATATTGGCTCCCTTTTGATCTTTGAAGTCTTGCAGACTAGTTCTATCCTTGAAAAATCCATACAACCCTGACTGTTTCCATTGACGCATTAAGGTTGAACTCATGCTAAATAACACTCTTCCCCTTCATATCTTGAATTCATAGCTACCTCATATTATTCCTAGATAAATGTAAATATATATGACAAATATTGTTATTTTTTCTTCATCAAACTTAGCAATAAAAATGATAGTTCAGTTCCTACGATAATGACACAAGAATGAGTTATTGTAGTCTTCTTTTGCTTTCTCTTATGAGTCCTTAGGATGAGCTCAATTTGTGTTCGGCTCTTTTCAGTTATTTCTCCTATAATGGATAATAAACTAATTAGTTATGTAATAAGATATTCATTTTCATATTTTGATATTTAAAATAGTTAAAAATTTAAATAATAGTAATGTTATGTGACACCCATGCATAGTGAATGAAATTGAATCTATTAGGCTATATTTACAATAACTTTTTTGTTGCTTTTTAAAATACCTTTCTAGCATAAAATTTTTATGATGATAAAATGAAAAAAAAATATGGATATTTTGATGATGTTATTAGTAGCTCTGTGTTTTATTATTTGTTTTACAGTTTAAATTGGAATAAGAAAACTAAAAAAAAAATTCAAAACTAAATCTTGGAATTTGTTTATCGTAAGCCAACTTGGTAGTAGGGCTGCAAGCGAACCAAACGTTCGACGAACTACTCGTTGTTCGGTATCGGAACCCGGTGTATTTGGGTGATGTGGCGTCACCGGATTGAATGTCCGGACATCCGGTGACCGACGCAATAATTCGCCCTGGGTGAGACACCTCACAATGATCTTCTTGGAAGCATCATTTATATTTACTGTGTCATATAGTGCCCAAGAGAAGTATTCCTAAAATTAAAAAAAAAAAAAATCTTCATTTGGGACGACTTCTTACTATTTTATGAATAAGTTTTTTTAGTAATTTTTTATTTTAGTTTAAGAAATTTTTATACTAAAAAATTATTTGAGAAAGTAGTAAAAAAATCAGTCACAAATGAAGCTTTGATTATATCTTATAAAGTTATGGAAATATATTCATTAATTCATTCAAAGTAAATTGAATTATGTTTTAAAACGTTTCTACATCCTCCCTCTGGTAGTGGTGGTGGGGGAAGGTCATGGAGTTTATTTTCTGTTTATTAGAAGTTTATTAGAAATCAGTCCTAAATGAATATACATCCATTTACTATCACTATATCTTCTATATTAATAAAAAATTAAATAAAATAAAAATATGTCATTTATCTGAAAATAAGCATTTTAACTATCTCCAACACATCGAAATATTCTCATTTTAGTGGTGGTGGAGGGAGAATCTTTTCATTCGTCACATATCAATTTTCCTCTTTCTGCTGGACTCAACAAGCTGCAGGTTTTTGTCTTGATGGGAATAACTTCATATGAATACAGGCTGCAACAAAATTTTTTTCTTGGGGCTGATTATGGAACAATTATTAGGTCAGGTGAATTGACGTAGTTCTACATCCAGACGTCAATAACATGCAGCCACGTGCTCTTACTCTTTACCGCGCGGCCCGACGACCCGACCCGGACCAGAACCCGGGATTGCTATGTTCGCGTATTTCTCGGTATTGTTCGGTATTGCTAGGTATTACTCTGTATTGCTAGATATTGCTTGGTAATAATGAAAAATACCGCTCTGTGAATGTCAACACCGAGCAATACCGAGTAATACCTAAAAACTCGGTATTGCTCGATATTGCTCGGTATTGGTCTTCACAGAGCGGTATTTCTCTTTATTGCTAAGCAAAATCGACCAATAACTAGCAATACCGAGTAATACCGAGCAATACCCGAACATAGAAATCCTGAGTCCATTTCCACTCGGTTTGTCGAGTCGCGCGGTAAATAGTGAGGACACGTGGCACTATTTTACTAGCCGTCCGAACGTAGAGCTACGTCAGGTGACCGGACCAAATAAAAGTTCCTGATTATGACTTCGTTAGTACAGTTTTTTTTGGTTGCTTTTTAAAAATATTTTTTATTTTTATTTTTTTGAATTAAAAAATACTAAAAAGTTATTTTAGGAAGCAGCATGAAAGATGTCAATTTGGGATGACTTTTTTACTGCTTACTAAAGCAATTTTTTAGTATAATTTTTTGTATTAAAAAGCTACTTTAAGAAGTGATAAAAAAGTCGTACCAAATGAAACCTATATCAAGCCGTTTGGCTGCCGTTATAAGTTCATGTCATAAATTGATCATAAATGAACCGAATTCAACCTTCAGATGCATTCTTCTTGGATCGGCTTGCATTAATAATGTTAAGAAATTGGGAGGAGCATGAAGAGCTTCTTGAGCTCTTCTTCAAGAGAGAGGAAGAGAGAGAAGGGATGACAAATTTTAAGAGGAAAACTAACCCAGAGTTTTATTCAATTTTTCCCAAAACTTTATATCAACCTATACCTCTTATTTATAGGAATTTACAGGAGTGTGATGGCATTCGGATCAACTCAATCTAAAATTGGACCAACACCTCACAAATAAATATGAGAAATAAATTGCTAGGTATTGTTCGGTATTGCTAGATATTGCTTGGAAATAATGAGAAATACCGCTCTGTGAATGTCAACACCGAGCAATACCGAGTAATACCTAAAAACTCGGTATTGCTCGATATTGCTCGGTATTGGTCTTCACAGAGCGGTATTTCTCTTTATTGCTAAGCAAAATCGACCAATAACTAGCAATACCGAGTAATACCGAGCAATACCCGAACATAGAAATCCTGAGTCCATTTCCACTCGGTTTGTCGAGTCGCGCGGTAAATAGTGAGGACACGTGGCACTATTTTACTAGCCGTCCGAACGTAGAGCTACGTCAGGTGACCGGACCAAATAAAAGTTCCTGATTATGACTTCGTTAGTACAGTTTTTTTTGGTTGCTTTTTAAAAATATTTTTTATTTTTATTTTTTTGAATTAAAAAATACTAAAAAGTTATTTTAGGAAGCAGCATGAAAGATGTCAATTTGGGATGACTTTTTTACTGCTTATTAAAGCAATTTTTTAGTATAATTTTTTGTATTAAAAAGCTACTTTAAGAAGTAATAAGAAAGTCGTACCAAATGAAATCTATATCAAGCCGTTTGGCTGCCGTTATAAGTTCATGTCATAAATTGATCATAAATAAACCGAATTCAAACTTCAGATGCATTCTTCTTGGATCGGCTTGCATTAATAATGTTAAGAAATTGGGAGGAGCATGAAGAGCTTCTTGAGCTCTTCTTCAAGAGAGAGGAAGAGAGAGAAGGGATGACAAATTTTAAGAGGAAAACTAACCCAGAGTTTTATTCAATTTTTCCCAAAACTTTATATCAACCTATACCTCTTATTTATAGGAATTTACAGGAGTGTGATGGCATTCGGATCAACTCAATCTAAAATTGGACTAACACCTCACAAATAAATATGAGAAATAAAGAAGGGGGGGGACCATGTATTCACTGCTTTACACATAAGAAAAAAAATTTATTATTATTATTTTGAAGAATGAAGAATCACTTAAAATACTTTCAAACTCTTATATATATATATATAGAGAGAGAGAGAGAGGAAAAGCGATTTTTAGTTTTGTATGGCGTTTATTAGTATTGATATATTCTCAAAAAATCATCTTGATCGGGCATGAATCACGAGGCAAAAATAAATCATAAAATTTCAAAAATTAAATTCGGGAGCACCAGAACTCCGATTTCAGCGAGTTTACAGTCAAACTGAGCATCTCGGAAATACGAACCCAACGGCACCAAATTCAACTCAATTCGAGTCCAAATGAGTCTGAATCGAAGACTCGAAGTGCTGTTGGAAGGTTCGAATCACAATTTGAGTTACCAAACTGTCTCCGATTTTAACGAGCTTATACTCGAATCGAACGGCTCGACGAGACAAATCCAACGACCCCAAGATCGCCGAATTCCGACATCACTAAGGCTTTCAAATGTCCAACGAACGGTGCACGATCGAAGGGTTCAATATCGGCCGTTCATTCGATTACTCCCTATTCGCTCATGATCTCACACCTATTTACAAGCCATGGCACTCCAGAAAAACTATAAATAGAGCCATCATTCTTCACAAGAGGACTCAAGTGAGAAGAGAGAGAAGAAGAGAAGAGAAAAAGGGGAAAGGGAGAATCATCTCCTCCTCGACCACCGCCGGAGTTCTTTCCGCTGCTTGAATATGCC